GTTTCCAGATTTATCAACAGCTAAGCAGTGGAGGTGAGGTGACAGCCATTAAGAGCCCGGAGAAGCTGGAAGGTTGTGAAAATGGCCAGGGGGTTGGTTTGAAGTCTCAAGTACACCCACAAGTTCACTGGCAAGTCAGAATGCAAGAGTTAGGGGTCTGGCCCTAACCGGTTTGGCTCAGTGGATAGAGCGTCGGCCTGTGGACTCAAGGGTCCCAGGTTCGATTCCGGCCAAGGGCACATGCCTGGGTTGTGGGTTCGATCCCCAGTGGGGAGCATGCAGGAGGCAGCCAATCAGTGATTCTCTCTCATCATTGGTGTTTCTATCTCTCTATCCTCCCTTCCTCTCTGAAATCAATAAAAATATATTTTTTTAAAAAAGAGTTAGGGGTCTGGCCATAGAGAACACAAACAAAGGACCTCCATCAGGAAACCAGTTTTCTTTGGTGCCGTCTACCGAACTCCCATGGCATCTATACAGCTTCATGTGCCAGGCTGAACACAGGATGAGTATTATCAGGTGCTGCACACATCCTTCCGTATCAGACAGCCCTTGACCTACATGAAGGCTACAATGTGTGCGTGTTTCAAATCACCCAATTCTTTGTGAAATCTTTCCTGGTGACGCTAGTCTCCAGTGATCTCCCCGTTTATTGGGTTTTAATTTGACTTGTGATATTGCTACCTAGCTCCAAGCCTTGCTCCAAATAGACCACAGTTCTTGGGGACAAAGTATCTGGATTTAAAATCACCTACACGGAGGGTGGAACAGGCCGTCAATGAAGACAAGTGCTACATACTTTTCTCAACGCCTTAGCAAAAACCCACCATCACAAATGTAATTAAGAGATTTAATAATCATTGACGAATAGATTTAGAGAATCAGGTTGATTTCTAAAGCAAGAGGCCATTTCTGCCGCACTAGCAGAAATGGGGGGGGGCGCCTCTTTGCAGATACCACCCCCTCGTGTGGTCGGTGGGATGAACCAGGATGGCTCCACAGCCTTCTTTCTCCTCTCCTCCCTCCATCAGTCTATCTGCTTCTGCTTCAGCGGATCCTAGGACCTGCTCAAATCACCTGCCAGCCCTTCATGTTATACAGGTTACAGGAGTTATCACCAGACTAAGGCAAAGGAAAAGCAACCAGAGAACCGGAGAGAACAAGAAAAGAAGGCGTACATTTTCACAGCCCCACAAAGGATATATGCTCGGGCCCATCAAAGGCTGAGTGCTTAGGATAACAATCAGGAAGTATCAGCATCCAGCAACAGTGAATTGGCTCAATAAATTTACACATCCATATAGCCAAATACCAGCTCAAATTGTGCAGGTCTATTTTTATTGAAATAGAATGTCCATGCTAGGAGTAAAGTATGCTTAGTAAAAAGTAGTCAGCTATACAAGTGATTCTTGCTGACTGGTGGAATTATGGGTAAATTTGTTCTTATCTGCAGGTTTTTTTCTACAATGAACACAAATTACTTGCATAAGAAATAATGATCCAAATAGTCCCTATTCCTTTCCTTTTTTTCCCTTTTTTAAACAGTGTGTATCTTTTTATTTTAAATATATTTTTGTTGATTTCAGAGAGGGAGAGAGGGAGAGAGGGAGAGAGGGGGAGAAGGGGAGAGAGAGAGAGTGAGAGAGAGAGAGAGAGAGAGAGAGAGAGAGACAGAAAGAGAAACATTAATGATGAGAGAGAATCATTGATCGGCTGCCTCCTGCATGTCCCCTACTGGGAATAGAGCCTGCAACCCCAGCATATAACCTTGACTGGAATTGAAACTGGGATCCTTCAGTCTGTAGGCTGACACTCTATCCACTGAGCCAAACTGGCTAGGACTCCTTTTTTTCTTTAACAATACTTAACATTGGCTTTGGCTTAATAAAAAAATTTACTTGCCTTAGCCGGTTTGGCTCAGTGGATAGAGCACTGGCCCTAGGACTGAAGGGTCTTGGGCTCGATTCCAGGCAAGGACACGTACTATAGTTGCAGGCTTGACCTCCAGCTCCAGATTGGGGCACACGCAGGAGGCAACTAATTGATGTGTCTCTCCCCCTCCCTTCCACTCTCTAAAAATCAATGGAAAAATATCCTCGAATGAGGATTAACAATATATATACACATACACACATACTAGGGGCCCAGTGCACAAATTCGTGCACCTTGAAAGGAACTGTGGGCTGCGAGGCTGTGGTGGGCATAGGGGCAGGTCTTGGCCCATCATCCGTGCCCCCGCCCAGCCCCTGCCACCGTGGCCCCTGGTCCCCTGTCTGCTGGCAGCCCCGCTCCCACCCCCACTGCTCCCATGTGCTGACGGCACTGGCCCCACTCGCACCCACTGACAGCACGGCATGATTGTGGCCGGTGCCAGCAGCAGTTGTGAGTGCCAGGTGGGACCACGCGCACGGGAGCAAAGAATTTTCAGTAACCACAAGAGGCTCATCCCCATGACAGTGACCTGCACCCCCATGACAGTGATCAGCACCCCGCCTTAGTCTGGCGCCCCCCATGGCTGACGCCGCCATATTCTGTGCTCTGACACCTGCTGCCCACGCCCGCCATGTTCCACGCGTGCCCCCGCCATGTTCCACGCGTGCCCCCTGGTGGTCAGTGCATGTCATAGCCTGCATATTAGGGTTTTATTTATATAGATATATACTAGATATATACTAGAGGCCCAGCGCACAAAATCATGCGCAGGTACGGTCTGTGACCAGAGCCATCTTCCCTGGCTGCCAGCAGCCGGCCCCGCCCCCTGCCACCACCCACCCCGGTTCCCCATTCGCCATCCAGCGATGGGAGCCTGACAGCCAGGGGAGGGACTGAGAAGTCGGCCGTTCCCGCCCGCTTGCTGGCCCCATCCCTGCTGCTGGTTGCCCCAGGCCACCCGCATTCCCCGCCACCCACCCCAGGTCCATGTTCGCCATTGGCGATGGAGCCTGCTGGCCGGGGAAAAGAACCAAGAAGTGGTCAGTGCACCTCATAGTGACTGGTCAAGCGGTCATTCTGGTCGTTCTGCCGTTATGGTCACTGGGCTTTTATTATATAGGATACACACACACACACACACACACACACACTCAGTAAAAATGTTTATAAAAGCCAGAACTCTACCAACAGAGTGGGTTATAAATCTAAGAGCTAACCAACCACATAAAAAGATGGCAGGGATGGGGGTGGGGAAGAAATCCTCCCTGAGATAAGGAAACAATCAATCTACCAGGCGAGCAGCGGCCTTCTAACAAGTGAAAAGAGACTGAACAACCTGTTTTTCCTATAAATAAAACCTTGGAAGGCATATCGCCAAAAAAACGCAAGTCAATATAAACCTTTATATACTGGGCTGCCAAACTTCACTTTTAGACAGTATATTAATTATGTAGTCAATAACCATGGGTTTCATTGGTGTATTAAATACCACGATCAATATTATTTATCCTTTTCGAAGACAGGCCACTTGGAGGAGGGGGGGGAAGCAAGGGGAGGGGAAATTTTTGACCCTGCAGTTCCAAAAGGTCAGGACAGCACACTAGAGACTAGCAAGGCTTTAATGGGAAGCATAAAACACTAAAAATATGGACAGAAATCAGATTATTACCCTTTTACTTTTTTTTCCTGCCTCCTTCACAATGAGACTGGAGGGAATCCAAGAACCATTTAAAATAAAGGCAAAATGATTAGATTTTCCCCCTAATTGCTTAACGCTGATGTCATGGCGTAGGCAAAATAAGCATCGATCTCTAAGTGAAAGATGAGAAATAGAACAACATGAACAGCCTTCAGAGTAAACTATATCCAAGACAATTCTAAGAACTGTGGGCCAGAATCTATTTAGGCAACCCTCAGGGACCTCGATCTCTTAAAAGCGTAACAGTGGAGCCAATTTCTGATGCTCCTCTACCAGTGATCTGATTTTTGGTAGGAAAACCTGCTACCCACCCTCCCCAGAGGGAGCCGCCCACCCCCAGAACCACCTGGTGGATTTCTCATCACACCCATGTAGAAACGCTGGTTTCATCACATAGTCATTGAGAACACACGGTGACTGGTACACTCTTGAGACATGTCAGGGCAACACTGCCAGTAGACAGAAGTGTGGGGCGGGGGCGGGGGGGGGGGATGCTGGGTGTGGTATGTATCGAGGACTGGTCACTGGAATGGAAGCTAGTTTATCACTTCCAACCCACAATTTGTCAATCCAGAAGAGTGCTCAAGACTTAATGTTCTAGCCAGCGCTTTACAAGCCAGGTCAGACAGAAAAGAACTTCCACACGAATTGTTGAGGCCTCGGCCAGAGAATCCAGTGCAGCCCAGTGACCATCTTCTGAGACTAGAATGTGTCCAATTAGCGGGCCTGAGACATAGACCCTCTGTCTGTTCTGAACTGCGGGAGCCACCCTGCCTGGAGCCGCTGGTTCCTCCTAAGAGGGCAGCTAAGGATGAACCCGACCGGACAGCACCACTAAAGCTCCACGGAGGGCCTCCACCAGCTGCACTTGCCCCAATCAAAACCCAGGTCCTAGCTCTGGGCCGACTGCAGTGCTGCCTGGGTACTCGGACAGAGATGTGCAGCAAATGCCAAGCGGTGGGCTGCAGCAACCAGATAGGTAATTAGCATGATTAGGAACACACCGAGCAAGCATGCTCTTGCTGACTGAAAAGCCCAGTAGCGTAATTACTGTTTTCTTACCAGCTCACCGTCTGTACACATTTCAAAGCCTGGTTGGTGTTAGACTGCTGTGTAAACATCAATAAACCCCAAAGTGTCTTATCATCGGCATTCTCGGGCACAATGGCTTTTTGTTTTTAGTGCTTTCATTCTTTTAAAGATGCATTTTCAGGGTTGCAAACCCTTAGGAAAGAAATGGAGCTCCCGCGCCTCGGACTAATCTTCGAGTTTGCAATGAGTTAACGTCTCCCCCAAGTGAACATTTATTAGGAAGGCTAATTAATTGCTTTCTAGTTACAAGAACCCTTTGCATTCAGAGAAAGTAGGATTCACAAGCAAAGAATACAGTTTATTAAAGCAAGGCAAAATACCACCTATTTAACACAGTTTTAATCAAGAAATGAAACACAAACTCAAGAAATATGTACACGTAGGTGTGGGTTCACCCTCCGAAATGCAATATTAATTGAAGTGAAAACGAAAGCAAAGCTTTATAGGTGCCTGGATGCCCCTAGGGGACGGCAAGCCAATGCTTATCAGCCTTCCTCAGAAGAGACAATTTTGATTAACATCAGACCCATCTGACTTGGTCTATTAAGCCCTGAAGGAAGGATATTCTTCAGATATAGAGATAGGTCTTTGATTAATAATTCCGGGCATTGCCGATGTGGCACCTCTGCAAGGAGGGCCTCTGAATTCTGGGAAGACGCGCTTACTAAACACCCAGGTTCCACACAACCACCCCTCGCGCTCACCTCCCAGCTGTGAAGGTGTCCCCGCTGGAGGAGCAGAAGCTCTAGTTCTACGATTTATTTCACCGTCTGCAGAATTAGGGTCAATTACATGTGACATATTCCTGCTAGAAGATAATGAAGTCTCAATAAAAAGGACAAAAGCCTGAGAGGGAGTGGCTGGTACTACACTGCCCGCCAGCCGACCCCTGGGTCTGACAGTTACACCACAGCCATCTGAGCATGTTTTCCCTCGCCTACCAATGGGTTTTGAGATGCACATAAAAGAGGAAATTGCTTAGTCCACCATAAAGAGGCTCTAGCCACTGTGAAGCTAATGTGAAATCATCGCACAGGGGGTGTGAAGAAATCAATTTCATTTCGACTCTTTATTTCCAAACTTCGGCCCAATCAGCACTGCTCTTCTCACATGGCTGCATGTCTCCTGATGTTCATGATCAGCCTTCTGCAGTATTCTCTGTAGTCCACGGGCTTCGCGTCCATCACAGTGGCCTTAATTCGAGACTCATCCTTTGAGAAGAGAAAAGCAGTTTGTGAACAAAGGGGAGCCCATGGCATGGAGCTGTGGTGACAGCCCCCTTCGCTTCAACGGTTTCAATGATCCCAGTAGCAGGAAACACAGACACGGGCTGGATACAGAGGTCAGTCATTCCAATAAAGAAAAAATCGCGAGAGCCGAGTCCAGACTTTCGGGGGCTGGACAGAGGCCTCCCTGCAGCACAGGCCCTTTCATCCTTTCCTCACGCTCCCAACACTCAGAAACCTTGGATCCACATGGGATGGACCTTCGAGGGCTGGCCAAGTTCAATGTATTCTCTTTATGGAGGCGAAGTAAGAACCGGAGAAGGCCAGTCACTTGCCTAAAGCCACACGCCTAGTTCTGAAGGCTGAGTGTGGTGTGAACGAAAAGCACCTGTGGCAGAGGAGGGGGACCTGGTTTAGGTCTCATCTCAGCTCTGCCAGAGAGGTGGCTCCCTGCACCTCAGCTTCCCCGTCCTTACCAGGAAGGGACTGAATGACCCTCCAATCCCTCCTGACCCCACCTCACTCAGACATCACATCTCCCTGTCTCATTTAATGCTCATAAGAACAAACACGTCCACCACCAGGTAGGAAGATGGAGTCTAATAACAAAATGGAACGTGTTAACGTGTTAACCCTGAAACAAATAGAGATGTTCTCAAAGTTCTCCCCGGACCATTCATTAGAATGGAACAGTCCCTTTAGAGGCAGATGCCCACAAAGGTGGCAGAGTCTAGCTCCAGGGCTCCCACCCTTTAGCATGCTCAGTAATTACTAAACACAGTCATGTTTCTAGGCATGGTTAAGAGCAAAGCTCTGAACTTGGACTGCCTGGGTTGGAACCTTAGCTCTGCCACTCATTAGGATATGACTTTAGGCAAGTTACTTATTCTCTGTAGGCAACACGTTTCATTGGTAAAATGGAGACAACAATCGTTCCTACATATGGGGTTACTGTCAGGATCTAGTGAGATGATCTATGGGAAAGAAAAGGTGAAGAACTGTATCTGTCAGAAAGTAAATGCTTAATACATGCTGTTTTATTCTGACTATACAACTATATGATGTCGTGGGCAACTTAAGGAATTTTCAAGGTAATTTTAACTACATGTGGTCTTGTTTCATATACTGGCTTCAGAACCCAAACCTTGTGGAAGATACGAGTCCACTAGACATATTATCATTCTTGGTCAGCATACCAACAAAAAGCCCCAGGTTTTAACTGAAAAGGCCATACAGCATTTTTCCCCCTAGATGCCCAACACTGGACAGGGGACTTAATCTCTAAGTCCACTTCCTCATCTTATCACAGGGATGATCATGGTACCTCAGTGTGGGGAAGACTCCATGAGTGCCACACGCAGGGTGCTTAGCTTAGGTCGGGCACACAGCAAGCAATGAACTGACAACTAACACTGTAACATGTGGGTGGGTGGCACACAGCAGTTCCCACGCTAACCCTTCTGCAGCCTGGTGACCTTACTTACATTGTAGGTCTCTAGTTTGACTCTGATCTTGAACACAAAAGATCGAAAGTTGGCATTCTGGAAAATTTCCTCAAACGCCTGCTCATTCTGCAAAAGAAATAGAAAAACTTTAGGCTTGAACACTACTGAATCATCCTGATCATTATCTATTAAAG